TCTTCTTGATAACAGCAGCAGACCTGGATTTTGATGATAACCCAAACTGTAGAGTAATAACATTGCAGGTGAGTTACCCTTTCACAAGCTAGGTGAAGAAAGACAATTTGTTATATGAGCATTATCAATTTCTATAGATATATATATTATCTAGCTAAGCACTGCAATCCTAGTTTATCTTAATCAGATCTGAAGGAATTCTAGAGATTCTGTTTGTAGTATTGTAAGCACCGGAACTGTGGTGCAGCAGGCTTGGAGTCAGCCGCATTAAGATAATTACTGACCAAAAGGTCATGAGTTCGAAGCCATCCCGGGTCAGAGTGAGCTTCCAACCATTGTGTAGCTTGCTGTCAACCTTTGCAGCCCGAAAGACAGTTGCATCTGTCAAGTAGGAAATTTAGGTACAGCTTATGCGGGGAGGATAATTTAACTAATTTACGACACCATAAAAATCTTCAGCAATTGTGCAAAAAGAATGGGGAAGTACTCCATCATTGTCACTAATGGATGGTGAAGTGACAGCTCCCCTGGTGGCCAGAATACCCTCATGTAAGCTGGAATGTTAGATAGCCTCTGTGTGTCTGTCTATATATGTTGTGTGTCTATGGCACTGAATGTTTGCCATGTCCCCTATGGGGTGAGAAGGGCGGAATATAAATACTGTAAATAGTAACTAATAATACATTTGTAGTAACTGAAATATCTTCCAAGAAAACTAAAACTCAATTTCTTGTTTTTGTGTTTCGTTTACCTTTCTAAAAATAAATACTTGCCCTTTCCTAGCATTGTACTAAACAGTAATGTGTACTACTAGTGCTGTATTCAAAGCCCAGAATCAGTAGTGTACATTATAAACTATTTCTCAATTACTGGGGGGTTAATGTGGAAATTTAATTCATAGCCACATACAATAACCACAAAGATTCCTGTAGATTGTGTATTTTCACATTCACACAACTTTAAATAATGGAACAGGAGTAGAGTGTGGGTGTGTGTTTATTTGTGGACTTTTAAAACCTGTGTTTCACATTTATATTAGGTTCTGGACAGAAGAGCACTATTTATTTATTTACAGTTCTTATATTCCGCCCTTCTCACCCCGCAGGGGACTCAGGGCGGATTACAGTAAACACATATATGGCAAACATTCAATGCCAGTTTGACAAACAACGTTTAACAGACAAATACACCGAGGCTATTTAACTTTTTTCTGGCCGCCAGGGGAGCTGCTGCTTTTCATCGTCCATCAACGACGCCGATGAAGTTCTTCCGCATTCCACATTCCCCGGAGTCTTTTTTCTTTATGGCCTCATAAATTAGTTAAATTTAGCCTCCCACACAAGGTGGTACCTTATTTTCCTACTTGACAGATGCAACTGTCTTTCGGGTTGCAAAGGTCGACAACGGGCTACACAATGGCTGGACACCCACTCCAGCCCGGGCTGGCTTCGAACTCATGACCTTTTGGTCAGAGTGATCTTAATGCAGCTGACACTCAGCCAGCTGCGCCACAATCCCGGTGCACTATGGCAGTATAATGGTTTTGACAGAACTGTAGGGGGGAAAATGCTATTAGAAATTGCCACTGAAATAGTGATCATATGGTCTCTGAATATCCATTGAACCATTCAATATAATGGTTTTCCTTCTCTACAGAGAAAGATGTCTGGTCTTGAATAAAGTTGCACAGCTGCCGCAGAAAGATCTGCCACCATTATACCCAATACTAGAGAGGGATCTTTACAGCTTCCTTCCTCAAACAGACCCCAACCCCACCCCCCCACCCCACCAAACAAGAAAAAAAATCAATATTTTCCTTCCATAGAAAGATAAAAATCCTCCTCTTTATACCCATTTTCTACCCAACTGGTCTAATCTGATTCTTCCTTTCTGTCACAGAATCCATTCCTCTGTCAAGTGCTTCCTCTACCTGTTTTTTAAAAGCAAGTGTGTTGGATTATAAAGTACCTACTATATGCTTACTGAGCAGGTGCACTCAGTAATTTGGCAGCTCAACTAGCCCAGAGGTGGAAAACCTGTGACCCTTCAGATGATGTTGGACAAGAGGTTCACCACCTAAGATGCCCTATTTGAAAAAAAGACTTAAATGCAATTTAGGATAAGTTTTAAAAGACACAAACTCATTAACACACACTAAAATTAATATGGATACTTGCACAACATCCAGAATGGTGTTCCAGGTGAAATATACATAGCTGGTTTTGTTTTATTTTTTAAATGCTCTTTGGTTTTCTTACCAATTCTCAGATACATGACGTCCAAGCTGCCAAACACCCTTCAAGCAAAGAAATGAATGCAGTATATGCCATACCAAACAAGCCCAAAACAAGGATAGAGGACGTCACGTATGTCAACACAAAATTTCCACTGAGATCAAACAACATGAAACATCACAGTGAGCCACATTGTGTGCTTCCATCTCCTGGATCTGTAGAGTATGCAAACATCATATTTGAATCTGGAATTCCACATATCAGGGACTAAAGACAGACTGGATCCTGTTTCTTTTATCAATTCCAAGGCTTATTTGCTGAAATTTATGAGGTGTCTTTGTTTTAGAGATAAAAGGTACATTTGAAATATTCTAGCTTCTGCATAGTGCTATATTGATATGAAGCACTGGTAGGCTAATCTGAAAGCCTGCAGGTTCACTATTTAGAACCAGTATGTGGGCCAGTTTATATTAAGAAGGAACTCTTGTCTATACAAATTGACCCAACCATCAGGCAAAGTCCTGCCATTCTCTAGACCAGGCATGGGCAAACTTTGGCCCTCCAGGTGTTTTGGACTTCAACTTCCACAATTCCTAACAGCCAGTAACAGCCTACTGGCTGTTAGGAATTGTGGGAGTTGAAGTCCAAAACACCTGGAGCGCCAAAGTTTGCCCATGCCTGACTACACTGTAGAATTAATGCAGGCTCACTCTTGTTCTGAGCATATGATGATTATACTGACACAGCAATATTGGGTCCATCAATACTGTTAAATTAATGCATCCTGGGTATGCCTTTTTTGAAGGCCAGAACTGTTGTGTGCCATAAAGTCAGCTTTTTCACCATCATCAAGTCTTGTTGAGGACAATCCTGTCATCAGAAATCTATATAAATAAAAATCTAATGTTTGTTTGTGGCATTAACAGAACTCAAAAACCACTGGACGAATTGACACCAAATTTGGACACAAGACACCTAACAACCCAATGTATATCCTTCACTCAAAAAAAAAAAGATTTTATCATTTGGGAGTTGTAGTTGCTGCGATTTATATTTCACCTACAATCAAAGAGCATTCTGAACCCCAGCAACAATGGAATTGAACCAAACTTGGCACACAGTTCTCCCATGACCAACAGAAAATACTGGAAGGGTTTGGTGGGAAGTGTCCTTTGGTTTTGGAGTTGTAGTTCACCTACTTCCAGAGAGCACTGTGGACTCAAACAATTATGGATCTGGACCAAACTCTACACGAATACTCAATATGCCCAAATGTGAACACTGGTGGAGTTTGGGACATTTGGGAGTTGTAGTTGCTGGGATTTATAGTTCACCTACAATCACAGAGCATTCTGAACCCCACCAACGATAGAATTGGGCCAAACCTCCCACACAGAACCCCCATGTGGGCCACAGCAACACATGGCAAGGAACGGCTAGTGAAGAATATAATTGTTAGCCCAATATTTGTACACAGAATGAATACTTGCAGAGTTCAGGCTTGGAAAGGGACCTTAGATACTATATTTTTGTATTATAGCTGTGCCTACTTAAGTTGAACAGAAGAGCTGTATGTTCAAGCATAGAAGTGTCCTAATGATTGGGCTATGGAAATGCAGGATATCTGAACTGAATAGCAAAAAGAATGTTTTCAGGAATGGATTGCACATTCTCGACTCATTCCCATCATAGCTTATTTCTTGATGTATTTTTTTCCTTAGTGGAACTCCAACATCCTGTGAAACAAGCTGGGGGTGGGTGGGCTTACATTCCACAATCCACAATTCCCGCTATAATGAGCCCTCTTCCACAAATAACCTGCTTCTCTTTTATCTCGCCCGAGTTTTTAATTAGTTCTTCTTTTAATCATTGCCCATTGTCATTGTGTTTGTGCTTATTGTAATTTTATATTGTTTTGTATTCACATGTTTTATGTAATTATGATGTTGTTGTTTATTGTTCACGTTTTCGGATTTTTTTTATTGTAATTGTTGTTTGGGCTTGGCCTCATGTAAGCCGCTCCGAGTCCCCATCGGGGAGATGGTGGTGGGGTATAAATAAAGATATTATTATTATTATTATTATTATTATTATTATTATAGTAGAGAAAGGAATGCTTTAAATAAGGGCTCCTTAAACTTTTCCCACTTGTCTTATAACCTATATATAACCTTATAACCTATATATAACCTATATAACCTATTGCCTTATAACCTATTGGTAACCTCAGGGATATAGGTATATCAAATAGGTAAAACTTGTGAGGTTTCCAACAGACGTCACAACCTCTGAGGATGCCTACCAAAGAGAAAAGAGAAAATGCTTCTGAAACATGGACATACAGCCGGGAAAACTCAGAGCAATCCAGTGATTCTGGCCATGAAAGCCTTCAACAACAAATCTCTCACCCATCTCAAGGTGCCAGAAGAGACAGGCATTCCTATTGACCCCAGCAATGTCATAGTAAGAAGTTACTACACCAATTGTTTACATGCCCCATTTGTTTATATTTAACAATTAATATATATTTAAAAACACTAAAACATATAAATAAAAAATCTTACATTACAACTGAGACAGAACATATACCAAATATGACTCATTAAAGTGCCAGGCTTGTATTTCATCCCTTGGTCAAGCAAGACAACGAAAAGAGTTTAATGGTATAACAGACATAGGTTTCATATTCTTCCATCTTGAAGCTGATCTGCAATCCTCATCTCCTGGTTATCATCAGTGAAGAATATGGTTGACTTGGTTCTGTATTTCCCATACAGAAAAGCCATTCAATTTTTCATCTGAAATATTTTTCATCCAGAAGCCACTCGCTTCAGTGCAATCTGCAGAGATTTCTTTAAAAGTGTTTTATTGAGGTCAAGAGCACAAGATAAGCGCTGCTGGTGGGCCAAGGTAATCTAAGGAGGAAAAGAAAAAGTAAGCTACCTAGTAAATGTTACTGCAAGACCATAACTTCTCAATTAACGCAAGTTGCTTCTGATACCATCTCTCAGTCCAATTACTTAGTTAATCCACAGTGGATATAGGCGACTCCTGGCCCTCCACATGCTGTTTGGCTACAACCCCCATCTTCTCTATCCAGGATGGCCAATAGTGAGGGATGATGGACCTTAAAGGCTGCAGGTTGCCCACTCTTGTCTACTAAATTTACACAAGCTGGAGGCCAGAGACTATTTAGTTTATCTCAATAACTCAATCACACTTTGCTTTCTAGAGCACCGCTTCTTAAACTGTGGGTCCCAACCCCAAATGGGGTTCCCTTGGCTCAATATTGGGATCACGGAAAGTTTGGCACTGTAAACGGTCCCTGAATACCACCTAGTGGCTGTTATAGACAGTCACACAAATCTGTTGTGCAGTGTTTATAGTGGACTCTGCGGAAGATGCTTCAGCTGTACTTCATAGAAAGGACAAACAGTCTGTTTAGCAAATCCTTGCAAATGCTGATTTATTAACAGTAACTGTTTGACTTCTATACTTATTTCATGTAACTATATACTCAGGGTCACATAAACATTTCTCAGGCTGAAAGGGTTCCCGAGTGGAAATATTTAAGGTGGTTTGTTCAGAGGTCTGTTGTAACAAACCTGAGGCAAAACATCAAGAGGGAATGCTACTGGAACATGGCCATACAGCCTGAAAAACTCACAGCAACCCAGTGATTTCAGCCATGAAAGCCTTTGACAACACAATGTTTAAGAAATCCTGTTCTAGAAGATGCCACTATTGTATCATTCCCACAACTCCTAACAGCTCTGTTTTTTATTTTGTAAATTCTTATGAAAAGCATATTAATATATGCATCATCTCCCTAATTTTGTAAATTCAAAATATAATAATAAAGCAAACAGAAACATGTATATTCCCATAAGCTTCAATGTGTGATTTATTTATTTAATTATCATATCAGAAGTGAACCAAGGATACAGTTATAATGTATTTAAAAAACACAAAGTATTAAATGTTAATGTGTGATAATAGGAGTGGAATCATGTCAAGTAGCACCATATTCTATAGGAGCCCCTGGTGGTGCAATGGGTTAAAACCTTATGCCGGCAGGACTGCTGACCAAAAGGTCGGTGGTTCGAATCTGGGGAGCAGAATGAGCTCCCATTTGTCAGCTCCAGCTTCCCATGCAGGGAACATGAGAGAAGCTTCCCACAGGATGGTAAAATATCTGGGCGTCCCCTCAGCAACATCCTCCCACAGCAGAAGCGACTTGCAGTTTTTCAAGTCACTCATGACACAAGAAAAAAAAAAGGAAACTGGGAAGAAAACAGTTTCTCAAAGCCACATTATCTATGCCAGTTTTGTCTCAGATCTTTTTAACCAAGTTTCTGACTAAGCCTTAGAAGTCAGCAAAGTGGAAAGAAGGGAAATGAGGAGGTGTGTGGTCTCTCTCACCATTTACCCCTGTACAAATACATGTACTAGAAAGTGATCAACATTTTAATAGAAAGCAATATGACAATTTGATAGGTTGAGTTTCCAGAAATTGTTAGTCTTTCCCACCTGCACTATCTCTCCTTCCAAAACTTGTTTTCTCAACCTAAAACTGTGTAGGCATATGTATGCCATCCCTGTCCATCCACCCCTCAGGCAAAATCAGGTGCAGCAATGTAGCTGATAAGGTAATGCTTCCCTGCAGTATATGAAGGAATCACCTATATGTCTGTTAACATATAAAAAAGATCCCTTTCACTTGTGGGAAATGAAGGTATGTAACACATTAATTTGCCATTCTTTGTCTTCAAAATCCCTGGTGCAGTTACTCACACTTTTTTGGTATTTTGTCAACACTGTCAGAACCAGTTTTGCATAATGCATTGATGTGGCACATTCTGGAGCCATGTGACAAAGATTTAAGACCAAAACATTGAAGTCCTCAGTGGACAGTTCTACCTGAAAAGAGAAGTAGAGGGATGAGGTTGCGAGGAACAGGAGGATGTATTGTCAAAACATTCACACCTGGCTCCAACAGACAAGAATTCTTTCTCCCACCCTGGACTTTCCACAGATATATAAACCCAATTTCCTAGTTTCCAACAGACCGCACAACCTCTGAGGATGTCTGCCATAGATGCAGGTGAAGCGACAGGAGAGAATGCTTCTAGAACATGGTCATACAACAGGAGGATGCTTATGCAAAAGCTTAATCACCCCAACTCATTACAATTGCTTTGATTTCTCAGCACAAAAGCCATTTTGATGAAGAGTCAAAATTAACACCATTTGTTGCCCAGGCAAAGTGTTCTAAAAAACCAAAGATGCTCAGACCATAATCACTTAGATCCTATGTGTCAAGATGCTGGCTCTAACATGCTGCATATTTCACAACTTCACACTTGTAAAGAGAAGGGATTGAAATGGGAACCCCAAAGAACAGGAAATCTATCTGTCTGGGGAAAACAAATGTGTTCAATTTCATTCTTTCTAATTAGTGAAGTCCAGGAGGACTTAGATGCATTTAGTTACCTGTCTTCCCAGCAAAGAATGCAAAATTGTGAGAATATCTTCTGACCATGCAACCTCTGTAATGTGGCTGGAAAGGAAAAATAAAAAGGAGAGAAGATTTAATAGTGCTCTCTCTCTATCTATAAGTGCCACTCATGCAGATTATGTCCTAATCAATGAATACATTGGTAGGCAAAACAGCCATATTCATATGTAACTCTAAGCTAAGAATACTAAGTGAATAATTACAATAATAAACCTTTATTTATATCCTGCCACCATCTCCCCATAGGGACTTGTGGTGGCTAACAAAAGCACTCAAAAGTGCAACACACATAGAATACATTATACATAAGCATATAAAACAATGACAATATTTACACAACAATTTATATAAAACATAATATAAACCCTTATTGATTTAAAATTCCAAAAAATAGACTGTATTCAAATATCAGTCCCATAAAGTGCCAGAGTGAAACAATCACTAGGTCCTCGAGCTTAATCATCGTCTAAGGCCTGTTTCAAGAGCCATGTTTTCAGATTTGACCAAAAAACTTGGGAGAGTGGGGGGTAGCCTAATTTCTCTAGGGAGAGCATTCCAGAGCGAGGGGGGCCCTCTCCCTCGTCCCAAATACTGTGCTTGAGACAGAGGTGGGACCGAAAGGAGGGCCTCCAGGGCAGAATAAACCAGAATATGTGTTAAATTTAGGCTAACCCTATTTAATACTAGAAACCAGATACAATTTGATGCAACTCCAATACAATATATCATTTTGCATTAGAAAAATTTACCTGAAAACCAGTCTCACATATTCAGGTTCCAAACATTCCTCGATTAGCTTGCACACTATTTTTATCTGCTCATGGCCTGCATAAGGGAAGATAGACAACTTAAAAGTGTTCAAAGGGTGTACAAGGAACATTTTACTTAAGAAATGTGAGGCACTCTTTTATGTCCAAGAAGCAGAATTCACATGCAACCTGCTCATTATTGTCAGTGGTTTGTTTATTCTCTTTTAAAATGCAGTGGCACTCGCTGGCCTACAACCCACACTTTAATACTAGTTGTGTAAGGGGGGGAGAGGTATTGTCTAATGATTTGGAAGGATGTACTTTCTGCATGGGGCCGTGGTAGCGCAGTGGGTTAAACCACTAAGCTGTAGAACTTGCTGTTCAGAAGTTTGGTGGCTTGAATCCGCGGATGGGGCGAGCTCCTGTCCTTAGCCGCAGCTTCTGCCAACCTAGCAGTTCGAAAACATGCAAATGTGAGTAGATCAATAGGTACCGCTTCAACAGGAAGGTAATGGCGCTCCATGTAGTCATGCTGGCCACATGACCTAGGAGGTATCTACAGACAACACCAGCTCTTCGGCTTAGAAATGGAGATGAGCACACACACACACACCCCAAATCAGACTCAACTAGATGTAATGTCAAGGGGAAACCTTTACCTTTTACTTTCAGCATATGATCACAGACACTATGTATAACTTTGGATATTTCTGAATAGTTTCAACCAGGGGAAAAGGTTATATGTACAATTGAGCCAATGTAGCAAAATGCACAGAAAGCTAAGACTTGAACTTAGAAGAACTGTGGTCACGTCTCACCTTTGTTAAATGCACATAGTAGAGCCTGGATTTTGTGTGTACGTGTAAAAGAGGAGGAATGTGTGAGAAAGGAATAATAATATTTTTTAAAACTTTATTTATATCCCGCCCTATCTCCCTATGTAAACTCAGGGCGGTTTACAACAAGCTGCGGCAAACATTCAAGGCTGTACGATATTAAACAAAGAACAAACTAACTGCACCCACCCAAATCCCAAGGGAGGGAGGTAGGGAGGGAATTTACTGTGACAATAAATAAAAAAGACTGACAAACATGTTGCAAATTAAGATAATAGAGAAGAGTAGGAGATACTAGGGATTGCTGTAATCTGGTTTAGTTCAAATCTGGATGCAACACAGTTTTCGTTTTTTTAAAAAACATTATAGAGCACAGAAGCAAAACATCCATCTCTATGCTTCTGTTGATCTTTTTTCACTAGCATTCAGCACAAGAGCAAAGAAGACACGATGGAAAAACATGGGATGATAACATGCAAAAAAGCAAATGGATATTAGTATACTTGACATGATCACCTTTCCCTGGAGCCTGTATAATTGAAGATATCAAGGTGCAACAGACAGAGCGAGTGTACTTGGAAGAGAAGACCATCAGGGCAGTTGTGAGAGCCCAGGAGGCTGGTTCTGTCAGTAAAAGAACCTACAGGCCAGAAAAGTACAGAGAATACAACTTAATACCCAGATAACAGGCTTGCATCCCAAGATAAGCGGCGTGACGTACACCTTTAGTAATTGCCAACTATACCTATCTATATAAATAAAAATGTAATGTTCGTTTGTGGGAGTAATATAACTCAAAAACCACTGGACGAATTTAGACCAAATTTGGACACAATACACCTATCAGGCCAACAAGTGACCATCACTCATAAAAACACTGGGAAACACAGTAGAAGAGACTTAAAAGCAAAAAAAACCAAAAAATACATTACAATGCATGCGCAAAACCACGCATACACACACACACAACACATATACACAGACTGGGCTACAGCAACGTGTGGCAGGGGACAGCTAGTATTTATTATATGAAGGAGGAGCTTCAGTCTGCCCTATATTAAGAGTGACAAAATGATGAAGGAAAGAGCAGACACCTTTATCAGGTTATTTTGCTGTGAAACTGGAAATCAATGTACATATGGGTTTAGGTGCTCTTTACCACATCACCCAAAACTCACAAGCACCAAAGACAACTGCAGCAAGAAGTATTCAAACCACTGGATGCACTTCAGGCTGATTTATGGAAGGCTATCAACTTATTCAAATATCAGATTATTGATATTTTAGTGTTGTTATAGGTTATGACCAAATCAATACATTTTATTTGCTTAGTTATAAAGCTCTTTCTCAAACACAAAACAGGATAGTGGAAATAAAACCACAAAAAATTAATGTCTCATGTTAACATCTGGGAAAACTGTCATTATGAGGCCTCCTTTTGATCCATCCTTAGGCCACTTGGCTTTGTTAATGCATGTTGTGACTTCCCACTGGAACTGTGGTGGTGCAATTGGTTAAACCCTTGTGCCGGCTGAACTGCTGATCTGAAGACTTGAAGGTCAGCGAGTCAAATCTGCAAGGCAGAGTGAGCTCCCATCTGTCAGCCCCAGCTTCCCATGTGGGGACATGGGGGAAGCCTTCCACATGTGTCCCCTGGGCAATGTCCTTGCAGATGGTCAATTCTCTCACACCAGAGGCGACTTGCAGTATATTCTCAATTCGCTTCTGACACAATTTTAAAAAATAACTTCCCACTGACTTCTTCTTACTCTTTAAATTGCTTCCCTAAGAATCTGCAATTCCTTATTCAGTATTCAGTTCTCAAATATATATATATCGCTTTCTCTTTCAGCTTAATCAGTGCCAGTCACTTGAGTTAGCTGGCTAGTTTATTTCTCTTAAAAGGAACATTAGCGCTTAAATTAAAATGTATATGCATATTTGTAACAAGACAGGCAGATAAAAGACTATGTATAAAGATGACGCAATGACCTTTTCTGCCAAACTAAACATTATACTGAAGACACATGAAATATTCTGCTGACTTATCTTTTTTCAAACAGAAGTAATTGTAAAGAACAAAGGAAATAAATCAGGCTAAATGAGCAGGAATAAGAGTAAATCAGACTGCTATCAGAATTAAAGGGAGCAAACGACAGCTCAGCCTCTCAGATCTTTTCTCATATCAAAATCCTTCTCAGATTATTTTCAATCTGAAGGGAAAGATAATTGCATTCCCTTATATATAGGAAGTGGGGGATATTTTTGAATAGAACAATATTTGTGGAAAATCCACTATTTTGTTTCTGTTCACAGTTAGCCTTCCACAAATGCTGCTGGTTTTCCCCTTCGCTGCTTACTTTTAGGAATAATACAGATCTCTTCGCAGAAGCCGTGGTGACACAATGGGTTAAACCTTTGTGCTGGCTGAACTGGTGACCTGAAGGTTGGGTTGCTGACCTGATGGTTGCCAGTTTGAATCTGCAAGACAGAGTGAGCTCCTGTCTGTCAGCCCTAACTTGAGGGGACAGGAGAGAAGCCTCCCAGCAGGATAGTAACACATCCGGGCGCCCCTTGGGCAATATCTCTGCAGATGTTTAAACTGATGTGTTTTTAATTCCATGTTTTAATGTTAAATGATGTAGTGTTTTATGATTTAATTGATAACTGTATGTTATTATCGTTATGTTAAGTTTCTGAGAAAAGCAGTATACAAATGAGGTAAATGAATGCAGTATGTTCTCAAGTTACTTCTGACACACGACTTGCAGTATGTTCTCAAGTCACTTTGGACACAATAAAAAAACATCTATATGACACAATCAAAAGTATAATTTCGTATTTGAAGGGGAGTAGAATAGGGAAGAAATATATGAGCAGATAAAATAGATTGCTCTTATTAAAACAGATAATAAAAGCAGATGATGAAGAAGGGATTTAACTGGACAAATAATGAACTGTTTTTGTTTATTGTAATTAGTAGTGCTCCTGAAAACGTTTACTATGGAAAGAACTAAAGATATTTCTACCATTTATAAAGTAATATTATTCTGGTCAAAGAATGACTGGAACTTCTGCCAAAATTCCTCATTCAAAAAAATTGCCAATACATACCCGGGTTAGGAATAGCTTTGCAACAAGTACTGTTGTACTACTATAGCTGAGATCAGGGGAAAGTGCAACGAGCCAAGTACAGAATTGCAGGAGTTCATTTTCTGGACACTCTGAGAGCTGCAGTAATGAGCACAAGCCCTCTAACTACAAGAAAAGGACACAAACATTATTTTGAGTAATCTGTTTCCCAGTTACCACTAACACCTGGTTTATCTACAAATGTGATTGAACTTTCATTAGCTACTTTCAATAACAGTTCGGGGTCTAGGAACATGCTTATACTTAAAAGCAGATTCTAATTAATAAAGAAGGAGTTAATTAAAATAAGTTTGCTTAGAGTTTCTCTGTCAGTCTGTCACCAGAGTGGGGGAGAGAATTATATAGCACCTTAAAACAAGTTTTATTTGGCATAAACAATTGTGAACAGCATTCCACTTAATTAGAGGCAGAGTGATGCTATAATACTTAATTTTTAATATCCAAATATAAGAGATAAAATAATTAGTTTTAATAATAATTATTATAACATATGATGTAACTGTTCATAACACAGGTTCAGGACATCCTCCTGAACCTGTGTTGCAGATTCAAACTGGCAACCATCAGGTCAGCACTGTTTACTTATGGGCAAGCCATCGTAGCCACTCTTAACAATAAGGGCCCTTCCACACAGCCCTATATCCCAGAATATCAAAGCAGAAAATCCCACATTATCTGAGTGTGGACTCAGATGACCCAGTTCAAAGCAGATATTGTGGAATTTTCTGCCTTGATATTCTGGGATATAGGGCTGTGTGGAGAGGCCCTATGCTTCCATGTTCTAGAACAGTGGTTCTTAACCTGTGGGCCATGGACCACCAGTGGGCCATCAGGATGAAAATAAGGTCGGCAAGCCTCCTTCCTCTCTGTTTATTTTATTTCTGCTCCTTTCGTACTGCCTGCCAGTCCTTCCCTGTTGCCAGCACTTACTACTACCACATCAGCTCTAGATCATGATTTTCTGTGGGCAAGCAGATGGTGACTACTGGATGGCATACGTTCTGTATCAGAAACTAGAGCTGATATGGTATATCCAATGAATTTTTCTGAATCAGCACCCCAAACTGAATCTAAAGTTGACCAAAAACGGATTTGGAGGCCTTTCAGTACTAATGTTGGAGGGTGGTCCCTGTTCAAATGGTCCCTGGTCAAAAAAAGGTTGGGAACCACTGTTCTAGAAGATGTCACATTACTTTTTGTTGTTTGCGTCTAGGACTGATAGTAAGTCACCATGTTTTTGATGTTATGCCTTAAAATTATGGCAACCCTAAAGTAAATGAGTTTTTAAGGCTGAAAGTTACTTGCCCAAACTGTTCCAGTGGGTTTCCATGGTCAAGTGGGAAACTGAACCCTAGTCTCTAGAGTTGTAGTCCTATGGTCAAACTACTCCACCTCACTGGCTTTTGCCTTAGTGTACATATACACTTTTCACCCTACTAACCTGACTTGGAGTACACTCATTGAAAATCTGCAACTCAGAAGGAACAGTCCCATCAGAATGCTAAAAGTAAAAGGAGAAGCAACGTTTTTAAAATATCTGAAGATGAGACAAAATGACAAAATGAACACAGAATAGCTGATGCTTCTGTGAGGTTGTTATAAGACAATGCCCTAAATCCTCTTGTAAGTCTTGACTAGAATAGACCCATTTAATTAATGAGTTTTACCATCATATATTAAATAGGCCCACTCCGCTTTAGAATAACAGGATGCCATCCTATAATTGTTATTGAATCATGTAAAGCGGAACAGTAGGATATACAATAAACATGCCTGCCCTTAATTTTAGAGTAATTTCAACTATAAGGGTATTTCAATTACTAATACTTACATCATACTGCATCTGTAGCCGTTCCTTAAGTTTTGGCACATGTACCTAAAACCAGGAGAAAAATCATTTAAATAATTATTTGGCCAAATTACCATCAAATAAGCAGTCTGAAAAGTATCTGACTGCAAAAGTAATTAAGAGTCAAGTTTTGAAACCCTTCACATTAATGCTGATTGTGATATTCTATTATTTTGCTAGTAAATGTGCATAAAGATTCCTCATTCAGAGGGTACACCTGTATAAATGCATGGGGGCCCCTTTAAGCCATGTTCTAAGATGGGCTTGTCCCTCACTAATGGGCAGACTGAAAAATGAATGAAGGTAGATCTAGTGTCAAGTCTTCCAAGAAATGTGATGGCATACATTTTACATTAAACTCATGGAAGATACCAACACATTTCACATGGCTGCTATATTTCTTCCTCTAACCACATCCTTCCCTTCCTAGGAGCAGTTTCTCCAAATGAAATATCTTGATTTGTCCTTTCTTGACTTTTCTAGCAAATGATATGACTGCTTCCAGCTTTTTCTCAGGTGAGAAGTTCCTCTGAGTCCCCTAAATAATTCTCACTGCTTTACCCTTTTAAACTGAAAGCAGGAATGTATCTTTTTTCAAACTACTGAGCAAGCTGCTCTGAGATTCTTTCAAGAGATAGAGCTAACTATGAATGCAATACGTAAAAGAGCAGTATAGGCAGCTCTTTACCAAAATTACAAAAGTGTAATATTACTGTGGGCCCTGCTATCAACCTACTTCAAGACATGTTACTGTTTTATACCATCTTCCTTGCTTTTACTGTCCTGGCATAATCGGTCTTTGCTCCTTTGGATATTTTGGATGTCAACTCCATCGCAGGCAATAGTAAGGCATTCCAGGGGTTAAAGAGACCAGAACATCCAGAGGGTGAAATGCTAAGAACTATCATCCAAGCAGTGTTGTCTTAGTAGAGAAGATACCTGCAAGGCCTCACTGATTTTATATGCTTGCACAAGGTATAACAGAAGCTAAAAATTTGTTCATACCTTGATATGATCAGGAACGTCGGCTGCAGGATCTTGTGGAGGATTCTGATTTGTGTCCCCTCTTTCTATTACACTCTGCTTAGATGCTTTTTGGCTGACATTGTCACTCAGATTGTGAATATTTTCATTTGCAGAGTCTTCCATCATGCGTTCGTTCCCTGCATTAGGATCATCAAATCCCTTCAATACACCAAGCGGTTCCAAAAAGTCTGTATCCATTTCTATGTCGAGTCGCAACCTCTTTGTCTCTCTTCTCTCTTCTTCAGGATCCAGAGCTTCTTCAGCAGGTTTCTTGTTTTTCCTACTCTGAGTTGCAGAAACAGGTGCATCTCCGTGAGGAACTAGGCAGGGATCTGCCTGTTCAACATGCCAGCTTAACTTTTTTTCTGAAATGGGTTTCCTACGAACAGCCATAACGTTCTGACACAGATCTTTCAGCTGCTGTTCACAGACACCTGATAACAAGCTTGGTGTCAAAGAGCTCTTCCCTTCCATTCCCACTTGTAGTAAATCTCTCAGTCTTTGAACCCATAGATCTGGGCAAGGATCCTGCCTAGAGGCATGAAGAAGACGGTTGAGGCAGTCTTTGGGAATTGCAGACTCCAAAGTAAGCAGCAGGGAAAAGAGATTTCTTTGGCACAACACTGGGAGCAACAGCAGTACTGGTTTTCTAAAGTAACCATGTGAAAAAGAACATTGAGTTATTTTTGCTATTCGTAAGATAAAAATATTGACATTGTAATAAGCACCAAAACCAAAACCAAAAACCAAGAAGGCAAAATGGTTGTCTGCTGAGACACTGGAAGTAGCCCAAGAAAGGAGGAAAGCAAAAGGAAACAGTGCCCAATAAAATGTGCTATTCCAGAGGTTAGCCAGAAGAGATAAGGAACTATTTTTAAATAAGCAATGCATGGAAGTGGAAGAAGACAACAGAATAGGAAGGTCAAGAGACCTCTTCCAGAAAATTAAAAACACTGGAGGTAAATTTCAGGCAAAAATTGGCATGATAAGAAACAAAGATGGCAGGGACCTAACAGAAGCTGAAGCGATCAAGAGAAGGTGGCGAGACTATACAGAAGATCTGTATAGGAAAGATAATAATATCGAGGATAGTTTTGATGATGTGGTGAGTGAATTAGAACCAGACATCCTGAGGAGTGAGGTTGAATGGGCCTTAGGAAGCATTGCTATCAACAAGGCAGCAGGAGATGATGGGATCCCAGCTGAACTGTTTAAAATCTTGAAAGATGATGCTGTCAAGGTGATGCATGCCATATGCCAGTAAATATGGAAAACACAAGAATGGCCATCAGACTGGGAAAAAAATCAACTTATATCCCCTTACCAAAAAAATGGAAATGCTAAAAAATGCTCAAACTTGCATACAGTGGTCCTTATTTCTCATGCTAATAAGGTAATGCTCGAGATCCTGCAAGGAAGACTCCAGCAATACATGGAGAGAGATTGCCAATATCCGCTGGATAATGGAGAAAGGCAGGGAGTTTAAGAAAAACATCTATTTCTACTTTATTGGCTATATTAAAGCTTTTGGCTGTGTGGATCATAATAAATTGTGGCAAGTTCTTGGTGGTATGGGCATACCAAATCACCTTATCTCTCTCCTGAGGAATCTGCATCAAGACCAAGTAGCAACAGTAAGAACTGACCATGGAACAACAGACTGGTTCAAGATTGGGAAAGGCATACGGCAGGGTTGTATACTCTCCCCCAACCTATTCAACTTGTATGCAGAACACATCATGCGATGTGCGGGGCTTGACGAATGCAAGGCCAGGATTAAAATTGCTGGAAGAAACATTAACAACCTTAGATATGCAGATGACACCACTTTTGGCTGATGAGACTGGATTGTTGTTGTAGTTGTGTGCTTTCAAGTCGTTTCACACTTAGGTTGACCCTGAACGAGGTCCGGGTAAATGACCTTGGAGGGCCGTATCTGGCCCCAGGGCCTTAGTTTGAGGACCCCAATTTACAACATTCATTCTGCTGATAAACGGAACACCAAAATTCAGCAGAATGAATCCATACAACAAATTTTAAGTACAAAAATTGAATCTATATAGAAAGAACCAAATTTATTGTATTTATTTACTTTATTTCTACCCACTCTATCTCACCCCGAGGGGAACTCAGAATGGCTTTCAATTTTGGCAAACATTCAATGCCAAAATTATACAAAGATTGAACAAACCATACACAATTAACCATGAAAATCATATAAACATATAAAATACAAATTAAAACCAATCAAAACATTTTAAATTCATTTTATTTGCAACTGATGTAGTCTACTAAGATCAATAAGCAAGAACAACACATCTGAAATTAATCCTTCCTTGTGCTGAGCAGTGCCTCACAGCCGACTACGATGTCACAGAAGCATTCCTACTATTTGAAAATAATCTTGACACAGATGATAGCATCCTCCCAATCTTTTCTAAAATGAGAACTATAAACAACTCACAAGATGAGGGTCTTCTCGGGTCCTTTGAGCACAGGCTCTTGAGAACACAAATACTCTGTGAATACATGCCAGTTGAAGCCTTGTCTTCCCTCTTCTCCAAACTGGGATCGCTGAAGGGTCCGGAACGCAGCTAAGGCCCCGCTTGGCCCAGACATCAATGTACACAGAAGGAGACGAGAAGCTTTATCAAATTGTTGCAGCCATGGAAGAGAGGGCCTCTCCATGTTGAGAGCGCTGTTGATCAAATGAATACAAATAAAACCAACATTCAAATGTAATTCATTGTAATCGTGCCTTGAGGAAAGAATCTCAGTTAACATCAGCAGTCCACTTCCAACCTCCAAACAATGTGCCAAAAAGCCTTATACACATTAAAAACAATCAGTTAGTCATGAAGAACAAAAACAAAAGTCATCACAAAAATATGCCTATTTTTCCACATTATGTTATTTAGGACAATTTGTAGTCAGCCCTAGAAGTCTTGCTCCAGTTCTTATACTGACACAATACTGCAGGGTCCACAATACTATATAATTAATGCAGTTTCACACCACTTTACTTGCCATGGATCAAAGGGATGAAACTCTGGAATTTGTAGTTTGTTGCACTAGCATTTTTTTTTTTTTTGCAGAAAAGGCTACAGGCCTTGTAAAACTACAAATCTCAGGAATCAATGGCATTAAGCCAGGGCAAGTGGTATCAGATTGCATTAATTCAGGCATGGGCAAACTTTGGCCCTCCAGGTGTTTTGGACTTCAACTCCCACAATTCGTAACAGCCTGCCGGTTGTTAGGAATTGGGGAAGTTGAAGTCCAAAACACCTGGAGAGCCAAAGTTTGCCCATGTTTGGTATAGATGGATCCTATATTGCAATGTCAGTATAAACATCTTATGCTCAGGGCAGGGGTGAGCCTGCATTAATTCTACAGTGTAGATGCACCCGTTGAGATGAACTGTGTCTACAAAATACTGTGTTCTTTTGTACTTGTTGCAAGACTAAGTACTGGGACTACACACAATACTGCAATTACCAAACCCAAGCTCACCTAATTCCTAGACACATACAGCCTTTTCCCCATGTTTTTGGGAAATTGTTGCCTTTTCTCAAGGAATTAGAACTTTTACTGAATGTCAGTCAGGTTGCATCATCTCAAAACCTACTATCTGCCACTCTACCTATTAGATTCTATAGGTGCAACTACACTGGAGAATTAATGTAGTTTTGACACCACTTTGATCAGTATGGCTGAATGCAATGGAATCATGGGAGTTGTAGTAGTACAAAGTCTTTAGCTATCTCTATTAATAAGTGCTGGTGACTCACCAAATTACAAACCCCAGGACTCCATTGCAGACAAAGTGGTGCCAAACCGCATTAATTTTACAGTGCAGATGTATCCTAAATAAATAATCCATTCTTGGGGGTGGAATCCTTCCCTTAACCAATAATGAGGTTCACCCATGGAGGAGGCAAAGCCATTAATGAATGAACTAAAAAGTATTGCCTCAACATGCAATGACTTCTACCCCAATTTAGGACTCCGCTCTGCAAAAGCAGGAACAGTATTAGAGGATGCAAGGGACTGGGCGGAGGGCAACGTAGCTGTGCGCACGCGCACTCCCATACCTCGCTCGCGCCGCTTCTTCTTTCGCGCGCGCGCGCTTTCCGCCAACGAGCCTTAACTTCCACCCAATCCGGGAAGGAGGGGGCGGGGCTAGCTACCTTCTTACAACTACAGAGGCATGAAATGAATAGACTGCCTTGCCATGCTCTGCAGAGATGGAACTTCTAGTTTCATTCAGTCTCTGAGTACCTCTATAGACACTGTAGAATGAATGCAATTTGACACCACTCTTAACTGAACTGCCCCAATACTATGGGATCCTGGGAGTTGTAGTTTGGTGGCAGCTAAAGTGATGTACAAAAGAGGACAGCATTTTTCTTCTTTACTTCATTGAGAAAAAAATGCAGACTGTGTAGTATGAATGGAATGTACCACATCTGCAAATTTATATCCTATTCAAGTGCAAAAGGTACAGAAACCTTTTTTTTTTGCTCATGCAAATAGACAGGTTTGGGCTAGAGTAACTCCCAAGATGAAGGCACCAGGTTCCATCTGATCTTGGAAGCTAAGCAGGGCCACCCATGGTTAGTTCTTGGGTGGGAGACCACCAGCAAATACCAGGTGCTGTGAGCTGTATTCCAAAGGAACAAGGCAAAATGCAGTGCAAAGAATAATTAGAAAATATATGCAATGACAAAGAGCCTCTGGTGGTGCAGTGGGATAAACCACTGAGCTGCTGAACTTGTTGACCAAATGGTTGCAGGTTCAAATCAGGGTAGCGGGGTGAGCTCCCACTGTTAGCCCCAGCTTCTGCCAACCTAGCAGTTCAAAAATATACACGAGATCAATAGGTACTGCTCCAGCAGGAAGGTAACTGTGCTCGATGCAGTCATGCCAGCCACGTGACCATGGAGATGTCTATGGACAACACCGCCTTTTTGGCTTAGAAATGGAGACGAGCACCACCCCCCAGAGTCAGTACAATGACAATCAGAATGGGTACAGTGTACAATTTTTGGATCATGTGGTTTTTAATATTTATACAAGTATGCTTTAACGCTTTATTTTAATGTTCAAGTGTTTACATCTTATGTTTAATGGTTTTTAATTATTTTAATTTATAGTTATATGTTACGTGTTCAGTTACCCCCCCCCCCCCCAAGTATATGTACGTATGTGGCAATGATGTTTTTCCTTTAATATGTTGTAAACTGCCTTGAGTCCCCGTCTCCCGCGGGGTGAGAAAGGCGGTATATATAGTATAGTAAATCAATCAATCAATAAAGAAAAGCACCTCCAAGTATCCCTTGAATAAGAAAATCCTATGGAATCCAATGGAGCCACTGTAAATGAATAGGTGACTTGGAAATGAGGCATAGACCCACACCTTCCATCTTAGGAAAGAAGTTGTAAGCAGCATTTAGCACTGTTTATTTCACATACAAAATCCCCACAAAAGTTACATACCATCCTATAAAGTGATCAGATCAGATATATATCACAGCCATCATTTCTGCATTCATCTTGGTTCTATTTGGGATTAAATAAACATGCATAGGATTTATTGTCAAAGGCTTTCATGGCCAGAATCACTGGGTGTTGGTTTTTTCGGGCTATATGACCATGTTCTAGAGGCATTCTCTCCTGACGTTTCGCCTGCATCTGACAAGCATCCTCAGAGGTAGTGAGGTAGTGACCTCACTACCTCTTAGGATGCTTGCCATAGATGCAGGCAAAACGTCAGGAGAGAATGCCTCTACAAAATGGCCATATAGCCCAAAAAAACCCTAAAACAACCCATGCATAGGATTGTCGTATAGCGGGTCTCTTTGTTCCTGTGATAGCAGGTGGGGTTTGGAAAACCTCAGGATTATTTGGCTCTCATTCTATACCATCCCTCTTTTCCTGCAAGGCATGAATGACAAGTTCTCCACACCTACCTTGTAAGATAATGTGGAAAAGGGATGTAGTCCTGCCTTTTGGATGTTGCCGAATGCATTTTTCCACAGGCCCTAGCTAACCTAGAATCAGAGTTGGAAGACTCCACGGGCCGTCCATGCAGGAACACACAATCAAAGCACTCCCAACAGATGGCCATCCAGCCTCTGCTAAAAAAAAAACCTCTGGAAAAAGAGGTTTCACCACACTTCAAGGCAGCATAGTCCATTGCCAAACAACTCTTACCATCTTCAAGTTTTTCCTAATGTTTAGGGTGAAATCTTTTTTTCCTGCAATTCCAATCTATGGCTCCATGATATAATGAATGGTCTGTGATATAATACGCACAGTAGTTCCTGCAAGGGGACTAAGATCTCTATGCCTGACCTGGACTGAGAATGTTTTTGGAGGGGGAGGAAGTATAAAGCAGCTGGTACTAAGATCTTCAGATAGAAGGCACAAATCCTCATCTTAGAAGCATGCTTAGAAGCTAATCTTAAAATTGAAATTACTGTATTTTAATATTAAGTCAATGCAGTCAATCCCCGAGTTACAAACTTTTGACTTACAAATTACTCATAGTTAAGAGTGAGACAACAGGAATGAAATCTACTCCTCAGAAGGGAAATTCACTCCTGAAAGGGTTATCAAGGGGCAGGCCTGTAGCCAGGATTTTGATTCGGGTGGGGGGGGGGGGTGAGTCTGAGTGAAAGAGGGTCTACCCTAGCAAACCTTTTGTATCATTACCCCAATACCCCCATGCATATGAGATATATTGAGCATGGTGATCAGATCATGATATGAATAAACATAACAGTTTAAATAATGTACCAGTAAGGCCTTTTCGCAGACCACCATGAGAATTTCGGAGGGGGGGGGGGGCTGAAGCCCCCAACCACCACCACCCGGCTACATGCCTGTCAAGGGGGAAAGCTGTCTCCACCCAAGTTTGTAGTGTCTGTCCTTGTTAACTGTATAACAGCATTGAATGCTTGCTGTATATGTGTTCTGTAATCCGCTCTGCGTTCCCTCGGGAAGATAGAGCGGAATATAAATAAAGTAATTTATATTAATCCAATTTTTTCAAAATCCAATTATCACACAAACAGGAAGTGAGGTGAAATCTTCCAAATATGGGCACAGACTGTAAAACAAACAGCACAGGGGTGTTAACCCTTCCCTATGCTATCCATGTTATGTTAGGGGCCCCTGATGGCGTAGTGGGTTAAACCACTGAGCTACTGAACTTGCTGACCAAAAGGTCGAAGGTTCGAATCCGGGGAGTGGGGTGAGTTCCTGCTGTTAGCTCCAGCTTCTGCCAACCTATCAGTTTGAAAACATGCAAATGTGAGTAGAGCAATAGGCACCACTTCTGCAGGAATGCAATCATGCTAGCCACATGACCTTGGAGGTGTCTACCGACAACGCCAGCTGTTCAGCTTAGAAATGGAGATGCGCACCATCCACCAGAGTCAGACATGACTAGACTTAATGTAAGTGGAAACCTTTACCTTTACTTTATGCTACCCAAAACGTGTATATATCTGTGTGTGTGTGTGTGTAGTTTCTGATTGCTTAAGAGTTACTTTTAAAATAGGTATAATATTATAGCTCAAACTACAGTATACCATATAATATACTGTACAGGCAGTCCCCAAGTTATAAACAAGATAGGTTCTAAAGATTTGTTCTTACGTTGAATTTGTATGTAAGTTGGAATAGGTACATTTTTAAAGTGGAACTCCAGCCATATATATATATATATATATATATATATATATATATATATACACACACACACACACACACACATACACATACACACACACACACACACACAAATACATACATATGTGTGTGTGTGTGTGTGTGTGTGTGTGGCATCTACCAAACCCCATGGATGCCGGTTAACTAAAAGTCTACTGTAGTAAGAAACAAGGAAAGAACAGGCTGTTGCAGAAGAAAAAAAATTCTGAAAATGTGTGCAAAACCGATTCAACTATCACACCATCAAAGCATTTCATTTGCTGTGTCATTGCTGTGCACTGCATTGTTTATTGGCTAGTTGTATTATACGGTACTGAATATTGCCATTATATGCTGTTTGTCGCCCTGAGTCCCCATAGGAGAAATAGGGAAAGATACAAATAGGTTGTCGTTGTTGTTAAAGCAGGAAGCAGTAGTTAGGAAGAAGAGGACACTTTGTACAACTTCGTTTTTATTCTCCATATGATTCCAGGATAAAAAAATACGTATGGGGGCTTACTGATCCCTGATCCTAAGGATTTCATTACCGAGTAAAGCTTCTGGTACTAACTGATCACTGCATCAATAAAAAATAGAGGTTTAGCTTACACTCCCCCACATGCACACACTAAGCCCCTCCCTACACCTACATCTGGCCTACTGTATAGACACCCAATAACAGTACTGCTACACAACAAAGTGAGATGCAGGTGCTGCCTGCTGTAGATGATTGCACTGCTCAGCAACCCTGCCTTCCTGAGGACACAAATATGCAGCAGCATGAACACACCAATTCATTCAGACTCTCCAGAAAACCTGGAAGAGGAACCACTGGCAGGCTCTCCATGGGCCCTATGTCAAGAAACCCAGGATGTTATTGACTGTAAAAGAGGCGATGTAAAGATCTACACAAGCAAAGAACAAGAGATTGGCAGTGCAATTGGTGCAATATAAAAAATACAATGTGCCAAAAGTGGAAATAGCATTAGCTGGGCCTGTGAATCAGGGAGCCTTCCCCAATATAGAATGAGTTCTTGCATCGTGTTTCTCTACATGGTAAAGACCTGCCAGACAACTAAGAGCCATTAAGCTGATCAAGAGTCAAGACATCTTTCATTCCACACCCACCCTTTCAAGCCACAGCTTCACATTCCATTATGATTGTTCCCAGAGCCAGTTATACACAGCTTCCAGAAAAGACATAGTTGTCGTCGTTATCATCAACTAGTCAGAAGAATCACTTGAATCCCAGAGAAAGTCTGAAAAGTCGAAGTCTCTATCACTCTGCAGGAGGGCAAAGGTAAGAGCCCACTGGACAAGGTACATGTCATCATCGTCCTCATCCGAGCTGTCTGATGGAGACAGATTATAGGCCTGCAGTGAAAGACATAAGGAAAAAGAGACTTGAAATCACACCACTGATCTGTAAACAGCAAATAGGTTTGTGTCAGAAGTACAGACATAGCAATAGTAATCATGTACATCAAAATAAGGAGCATCAGCCTTGCCTCCTGTCATCTGAACTCTTGGAGGTGGGGGGAATCTACGAATCAATGACAGTCATGTTACTCATACAAAGGGATCTAGCAGCACACCTTTGAGGCTGAAAATGAGGTTTGCAGCGTAAGGTCTTATAGACTCAGTCCATGAAAGCTTACGATACAAACTTCTTTCTTTGTCTCAAAGGTGCCATTAGACTCCTGTGTATGAGTAGAAATTACTAGGACTGGCCCAACAAGTGGAATAGATGTCTAGGGAAACAATACCAATTCCAACCTGTGTACATTTTTATACTGTATCATCAATGGGGAAGGAGTGATAGCATGTGATTCTGCAGATACCGCACTGCAAGTCTTAGCAGTCCTAGGCACCATTGAGAGGAATGATAGGAGCGCTACTCCATATTATACTATGTAACACATTTTTTGTTCCTGGGTTATAAATGTTATTTCCTAATTGGGTTTATAATAAAATATGGAAAAAGTTTATTAAACTGCAAAACCTTTGTTTTTGTGGGACATCTAGAGCACACTTTGCTATAGTTTTTCAATAAATATCTCATAGAGTCTCAAACAATTCAACATAGTTTGTGACAGCCACAAAAACAAAGTTTCTGGAGTATAACAACTACTTTCAAAGTATGCAACACATAATTAAATAGGAAATAACACTTTCAAACCAGGAACAGATTTTTTTCAAATTTTGTTACATAGTTTTATCTGAAAGGTCACGTGTTTCCTTCTGTGGACAACAGCAGGATGGGTAGAAAGTAGACTAGGGTGCATTGTTAGATCCATGGGTGATTCAAAGTTGATCATAATGGACTACTAAATACTAATAGGTACTACTAAATGGACTACTAAATACTAATAGGTTAATGGAGCAACAAAACAAAACTTTCATACCTCTGAAATAAAGAAAGCCTACTTGATAATACAGGCATTGGATTCTTCTGTTAAAAGAACTGTATGCTGACTGTTGGAATTGAACCAATTTTCTTGGTCTGTACTCAATATCCCTGTTTTTCTTTCTACAAAGGATGCATCTACATGGAGCCACCATTTTGCATTCTGCTCTAACTGGACCCAATAATGAAAAATAAAGTCGATCCCAAGAACCTGAAATCTGTCCTGCTCTAAGCAATTGTATGAATACTGGTGCAGACAAGCTCAGGACAGCAGGATGTCTTGGGACAGCCTGATAAATGAATCTTAGTACTCAGTTTAGTGCCTGATCCTATCTTGAGTATATAAAGGGTATTTTAACTTACAATGGGTTGACGCCTCCTCCGATCAGGTCGTTGTCGTGACCTTGCAGTAGGGAGCTGGCCCCTAGAAAGCTCATGCAAGTAGATGCACTCCGATTTAAATGGGCAGTGACCATTTCCTCTGATAAAGAACTTGCATCTTATTTTGCTAGGGGGAAATGGAGAGAACAATTACAGTTGTAACATTTGTTTGGATTGCTGTACCAGAAATGGCACCCAAGATCAACCAAGTTGACTTGGCTATGGCATTTGTAGCTGCTGCTGCATCAGCTGAAAATTCATAATGTTCACCTAAACCTGTGGCACCAGGGGCACTCCAGTCCCAGCTCCTGCCCCATCCTGGTCCGTGATGCTCAAAGGGTGAAGAAAAAAAGATGTGTTTTGGAGAGGAGACAAATTTGCCTGCAATTCATTTTGATCATTTCCAGACTCCTCACCTTGATACCCATCAATTCCCTCATCCTCTGAAACTTCCAAAAAATCCCCAGCTGCTTGCTGAGCTTTTTCAGGAATGTAGGCAGGCATACTGACATTTTATGGCATGGTGCCAGCTACTGCATATTACAATGCACACTTATTCTTGGTAGAGGAATATTTATTAATCAACAACCTGCTCTCAAAAATATAAACTACTTCAAGAGACATGAAGCCAACAGAAGTCACAAATCTGAAAAAAGACTGAAGATCAGAGTTGCAGTCATATGGCCTTCAAAACATTATCGGAATGAAACTGCCATAGCTAGAACAGACAGTGTGGCTCTCCCAAAATATGGAAGACCACACAGTTCCCATGCTTGTTACAGATCAATATTGTTACCCAGAACCAAGTACAACTTCATAACATGGAACTGTTGCACCCCAGGCCTGGAAACACCTATGACCACTGCACCACATGAGAGTCCAGGAATATAAGCAAACGGTTTAGTGTAAAAAGATATAAAAAGCATATAAAAATCAGGAATAAAAAAGGAAGATATATAATCCGAAAAGGTTTAGCAATAGGCAATAGCAATAATCCAAATATCTCATAAAGTTCCAGCGGCAACAAAGTCCAAGAACAGCTAAAAATCACAGATACAGCATAAGTCCACAATCAAGAAAGTGTAACTAGCAAAACTTGAATAGGAGCATATGAACAGGAACACAGAAAACTTCCAGGATATATTAAATTCAAAATCAAAGCTTGACTTGAACCAGGAACAAGAGAACTCAGGCTTAGCTTCTCACTCTAACACAGCATTGCCTGAACTGACCTTAAGGTAAACAACTTGTTTTATAGACACCCATGAAATCATTCCATCTCCCATGAATTTCCTTCACAACTTTCCCACATAATCACTCTGAATGACTCAATCTATTTTCTGCTCTGATTTGGAAACAAAGACTTTTGTTGATCTCCATAGGTATAGGTGGGTTCCCATGGGAACCCTCCTTATCACTCAATTCTTCACTCGATTCCTTATCTACTGTTACTACTTCTGACTCCCCTGAATGCCCTTGAGGCCCTGCACTTTCCGAGCTAGTTTTTTCAGAGAGAACCATCATTTCCCAGACTTAAGAGTCCATCACTTTGTGCCACAGAAAAGCTCACAATCCTCTCTAAATCATCAGCCTCTGGTGGCTGATCTACAACAGGAACTGGGGGTATAAATCAAATCAAAGAAATGGCAGCAAAGAGTATTAAAAAGTGAGCAAAGCATCATGTTCCATGACCACAGATGAAACCTTTCCAGTGATGCAGGTCCTTTTTTAAACAAATCTGGACAAACTTCCTTCAGCTCTAAATTGCAGATAGAACAGCTGAAGGTGAAATGAAGTCTCCAACCTGATTACCATCCACCTTATCTGGCAGAGATGTAGCCCAAAACCACTGGAGAGCACCAAATTACCAGCAGTGTTGGATCATGCTTTTTCCAAACTGGAAACATGGAGAAACACTCCATGTAGCTTTCACCAATGAGGCAGCTACTTACCTAGTCCGTGCCTTGAAAGTCTCAATGAGTTTTTCCTTCTCTTCTGATTCAAAAACCCAGTACTTGTTGGGGATAAAATAAGTTGAAGTGACTCTGCACTCTGGGCAGCCCCTAGAGAATGAATACAGGATGAAGGGAATAAAGATTACTATCAGTTCACCATTCAATTCAGTAGGTGCCTTAAATGCTAACATCACTCATGGTTTTGATTATGTAGCAAGATGCTATGAAAAACTGGTTCACTATTGAACCATATGCCAACAGAAAGAGACAAAAAAAAAATACCACGGATCCCTTACTTTATCACTGTACTGTGAAAGTCCCGACTCTTCCGCCACTTCCGGATGCAGCCAACACAATAGGCATGGGTGCAGTTGGGAAGGATGCCGAAAAGGCGTTCCTCAGGTAAGGCCTTCTGAGAAATCTTGTCCATGCAGATGCCGCAAACCACATCCTCACTCTGGGACACAGCAGCCATGGCACCTGCCGCCGCCGCCGCTCCTGCTCCTGAACCACCAGCTGCCTGAAAAAGATCACACCTGGTTAGTATATTTCAAAAATAGATACTGACATTATTCAGAATGCAGAGGTAGAATCAGACAAATTTTGATCAAAAGGATACCGTATCTTTTGAGCAGCTTCACTGTCTGTAGATAAGTTTCCATTCCCAATTCAAGGTGCAGGTTATGACCTACAAAGCCCTAAGCGGTTAGGGCCTTGCCTATCTTCAGGATCGCATCCTCCCCTATGAACCGGCACGGGCTCTAAGATCCGCCAGGGAGGGCCTCCTCTCGCTTCCACCGCCGTCACAAGTATGGTTGGTGGCGACAAGGGAGAGGGCCTTCTTGGTGGTGACCCCCCCAACTTTGGAACACCTTCCCCAAGAACATTAGGCGGGCTCCCACACTGTCCTCCTTTCCAAGGGATTTGAAAACATGGATGCTCCAGCAAGTTTTTGAGAATGATTATTCGCTAGGCCCAGTCCCTAAATAGCCAGATAGCACTCTGTCCTGCACTTCATCCACTTCCCCAGAGAAAATGCCTGGTGTACCAAGAAAGTTATGTTATTTAGTTTTGTCCATCTTAGCTCATCTTCCCAACATCTAATTTTCTTTCCTAATAATGACCCTCTTTGGTTTATTTACAAATTTGTCACTTCTCTTCATCTTTTCACCCACTCCACGTCTATCGCTCTTCTGTTCCCTCCCTATGCACTTTCTACTTCATTTTCCTTGAACTGTTCTTTCCCCATTCAATTTCTTCCTCTCCCAAGACTGGTTGGCCCAGCTTGTTCACTACCAGTAGAGCCTGTCGCCTTGTCTTAAACGTGGGTGGAAGTGAAGGAGGGGTAAAGCAGAAATGGCAAGTTTGACTTAAACAGTGCTTCTCTGAAGCATTATCTGGTCCTTATGATCGCAATGTTAGATGCTCATCTGATTATCATGGAGATTTTTTTTTAAAAGGACAAGAGATAAGTGGAACTTTGCACTATTCCTAAATATACTAACAGAAGTTTTAGGATATGCAAGTCACATTGTTTGCTTGGATCAGCAAGTCCCCTTTATTTCCCATTTCACTGTGTGGGTACTATGCTACTATATTAATTCTAAATCACATTGGCAAGAACTCAGCACAAAACCTATGTAGCACCAACACAGCAGCCTGCAAACTTCCCTCTAAATGGGTTTTTTTTTGGAGAGATGAAGAGTTTAATATTTAAGTAAAATTCCACTACAACAAGCCTTCTGAATAATTTTGTGGCAACATTTAGTATTATGACCGCTATTATTTGGACATATCACCTACCTTTGGCTCCTCTGAAACCAGAGAAGCAGGAGCAGCCTCCTTAATGGGCGCACTTTCTGGCATCAAGGGTGTAGCATCAGTTTTCTGCTCATGGGATCTAGAATCTGACCAACAGATACAACTAAGGAAAATACCTTTTTTTGCTAATGGATCACATAGTAATGCTATGTTTACAAAAGTGCTCTAAAATGTTTAAAGCTATACAAAATGAAGAGAAGAATCACATCAGAAACACAGGTCTTCAAACATCTCACAAAGGAGAAGAAAAAAAGAGTGTAAAGGAGTGAAGTGAGAAAAATCAAAGGAAGGGCTGTCAACATGTCCACAGAAGTGTCTCTTGCCCCTTTCATCCCACAGTGATTTTGGTTACTGCAAGGATCAGGAAATCGCCAGATCGTTAATTCAGCTCAACAGGTTTATGAAGGGCATTATACTTGCCCTACTCCCACTTCCAGTTCTTCCCTGCAGTTTGAAAACTGGTCCGAAAATCAGTTGCCACAGAGAACTGGAGTGTGGAAGTTAGAAAGAGGCGTGTCAGCATTGTCCATAACTTTGGTTAACTGGAAAAGGTGGATTTGAGATTAAGAGATATTTTGATGGGTTGGATGAACAGGTTGGTGCTTATCTCAATGACAGGAATGTGAAAGAAAATGTTTTTCTGAAGATACATTAGATGATAGCCTTTTATTTCACTTCTGTTTGTAATATAAGTATTATAACAGGCACTTGTTTAACAGTCAGTTCACAGCTGGAAGCATCTAAGTGAGGAGAAAAGTAAAAGTGGGGAGCTGAGGATGTACTACTTTAGTACATGGAATTGAACCAGAATTGAAATTTTAAAAAATGTAGAAATATAAATAAAAACTCTCCCATTGCCACACTTACTCCTCCTTGGACAGAAACAGCTCTACTGGTTGGGAGGGTGAAGCCTAGGAGAGTTCTCAAATACATTTAATGTATTTTAATTGCCTTTTCTAGGATTTATGTCTAAATTGTTAATTTATGTTATTAGTATAATTAGGTTATTTAATTATTCATATTTGGTCCTCATTTTGGTATTAATTTCTCTTTTGTCTTACGTTTATGATTATTATTTTTGTATTATTTTGTTTATTTTAAAATGTTTGTATTTGAGTTGGGCATTGAATGTTTGCCTTTCTTGTGTGTAAACCGTCCTGAGTCCCCTTGGGGAGAGAGGGCGGTCTATAAATAAAATGTCATCATTATTATTTATTATTATATTTAAAATGGAGGCACAGTATGAACTTGACTCATATTGCATACTGACAAATTGAAACCTTGTGGATCTTAAAAACCAAAAGACCCCTTCTATTTCAAAATATGAATTATCAATTACCTGTCAAAGCAAAAGAGATCAGGAGAAACAGGTTGGGTAAGTATGAATGAGAGGATAAGGGTGTTCAGCCAGGTCACAGATGAATAATTGGTGATGAACTCCATGACACTCTGCCTCTCATAGGCAATCTTGGTCTTTCTGATTGTTTTGAATGGCAATTCCCACAGTCTTGTATCATTGCCATCCAGAAAGAATTGAGAGGATTTGTAGGCCACCTGACTCTAAGAAATCCCCAGATCTCATTGTTTAAATCGGTAGCTCTCAATCTGTGGGTCCCTAGGTGTTTGGCCAACAACTCCCATAAATCCCAGACAGTTTACCAGCTTTTAGAAATTCTGGGAGTTGAAGGCCAAAACATATGGGGACCCACAGGTTGAGAACCACTTCTATAGATAATCAAGGTTTATAATCAAGCTTGCCCCAATCAGAGGCTTACCTGAAGCTGCCTTCCTGGGGACAAATTCTTTACTGAGAGCCCAATTCGGGGGGTGCAGAGAAGAGGTAGTTTTTTCAGCATCTTCATCTCCCTCATCCAACGACATGCTCATGCTTCCGAAGTTCGTCTGCAATTGCGCCATGCCCGAGAAAGCTGGTTCAGAGTCACGCCGGGCACTACCCCAGCTCCTCACCGAAGCTTCTGGAGAAATGGCTGGCTCTGAGCCTCGACGATTCAGCAACAACATACTTCCTAGCAGTGCAGGACGGGCAGACTCTGACCCACATCTGCTCAAGACGGGTGCTTCCAAGATATGCTGGTAGCTGAGAATGAATAATGACACAGTGTCTCGTTTAAGGAAGGACATTGCAAGACAGGAAAAAAGATCTTTGTGATTTTGTCTCTCTCTCTGCCTTCTGAGAAGCAGCAGAAGGGATTGCAGAGAGAATTAGCAAATATGTCCTCCATGTTTTGATGATTCCAAATATCGTTGTGATATCACTGTGCTAAATCCTAATGCTTTCCATGAATGGAACAGCCTTTCAGTCATGGAATGGTGAAACTGGATTCCAACTCAACTTTGAAATCTATTTCCTTAGCATGAATTAACAAATATTTACAAGGAGAGTTGTTCTACTAGACTGAACAAGAATTTATTACTTTCCCCTCTATGATTATTTGGGAGCTACAGTACTTGCTTCCAACATTCAATCTGAGAGATAGATCTTTTCATGGAACCTAATACTATAGAGATGGAGCCAGAAGAAAATCTAGTTGCTTAAGTATAGTCCCTTAAGATGATAGTTGGGAAATCTTCATTTTACCTTCAGGTCTCTACTTTCAGCTGTGCTGTCTGCAGTATGGAGACAGAATTCCTGTTGTCATAGGATATATCTACGCTGCAGAATTACTCAAAACTTAATCTAAGGGTTTCTCTAGCTGTTACATTGACACCACTTAAACTGGTATAACCCAATTCTATGGACTCCTGAGAGTTGTAGTTTTACAAGGTCTTGAGCCATCTCTGCCAAAGAGGGCTAGTGCCTCACCAAACTACAACTCTCATGATTCCATGGCATGGAGCTATGCAGTTAAAGTGGTGGCAAACTCCATTAATTCTACAGCTAGAGGAACCCTTAGATGACATTTTGAGTAACCAATGCATTATCTAGTTTCAGTTCAACTATATGAATTGCTACCACTTTCTTCAGTGCAGTACAATAAAATATTTCCAGTAATTAAGGATAAAGAATAGAGGAATAACCAAGACAATATAAAGGTGGTCTTAGCGAATGGTTGCTAACGAAATCCTCACCTCCAATTATGTGCTATGAATTCACCTCAGAAATAATGCTAAACTAGCAATCACATTACAGCTCTAGACAATATGTACTTCTATAACTTGTATTTATTTATTTATAAAACATCCAAAAAGTGATAAAGCAATATGTCCAAATTTTGAAATATATTAGTAACGAATACACTAATTAAGTGACAAAAAGAATAATTTACAAACCAGAGAAGTTTCACATAAACAAGGATGGGCAAATTGATTAGGCTGATAGAGAAATATGTGACCAACTACAAGAGTGTTGGGATTTATATGCTCTAAAATTGTCGGGGAGGGGAAGGGTTCATGAATTGTGGGATTTATAAGCTACCAATATGTTATCAAATGTAGAAATGCGATTTTTCAATATTTCTTAAAGGCAGCAGACTACTTAGAACTAAAAAAAAATCACACAGTGAGTGAGTAGTCTTTATTTATTTATTTCGTATCAAAATCATTGAATAAATTAGTGTAAAACTGATAAAAAATAGAAGGAGCACAAGTGGATAAATACCTTTTGACCAAGAAGTGTGTAGATTAGTTTTTATGTTTGTTAGTCTTGTTTTAGTATGCATCTCTGTGTATTGGTCTGTTTCATTTTTCATTCTCTTAGTTTATATGTATTTTGTGCTGTCACTTGTAGCAGATTTTTCTCTTAGAAATTTGTAATAATTTTAATTAAAAGCTTGGCTCTGAGATTTTGCTTAAAATGTTTAACTTTGGAATTTGTTTTATTTTTAGTCTAGCTGTTGTTTTCTTCTTTCAATAATAATTAGTATTAGAATATAAACAGGCATGTTTTGAAACCAGCAGTTTCTCCATATCAAATCATGCAGCTGAGTGGAGTTCCAAAGGGAAGACTGCTACCACTGGAAAGTCCTTCATTTGCAAAGTTAGGCAGCAGCATCATATTGGTTGGAGAAAAAGTATCAAAGCCTCCTGTAAAGATTCTTAGGTGTTAGCTGGGCACATACAAGGAAAAGCTGTCTGTTAGGTTCTAGTAGTAGTCCAGGTGCAAAACACTACTTTCAGTATCTCAATGGATGACAAAAAAACAAATTGAAACGGAATGCAGACAAAACTGAGGTGCTTGCCATCAAGGATCCTAATCTAGGGGTGGAGGTGTGTCAACCAATTCACTCCTCCTGAAAAACTGTGTTCACAGCTTGGGAGCGCTCCTGGATCCATCCCTCCAAATGTCAACCCAGGTAGATGCAACAGTCAGGAGAACTTACTACCAGCTTCAGCTGATATGCCAGCCGCGCCCATTCCTAGATCTGGAACACCCGAAGATGGTAGTACACACCCTGGTAACCTCAATGTTGGACTTCTGCAATGCGCTTTACATTGGGCTACTGTTGCACCAAGTTTGGAAACTCCACTTGGTTCAAAGTAAAGCAGGCAGATTGGTTACAGGAACATCTAGGAGTGAGCATGTTACACCTATCCTAAAGTCACTCCACTGGCTGCCAATTAGTTCCTGGGCAAAGTATAAGGTGTTGATATTGACTTTTAAAGACCTACATGATTGGGTCCAAGTTGCCTTCTTTTGTATAATCCACCCCAAACACTGAGGTTCTCTGGAGGGCATCTGCTTCAGCCTGCCAGAACTTGGCTGGCATCTGTCACCAAGAGGACCTTCTCATTGGCTATCCCACGAATGTGGAACGACCTGCCAATAGAGCTTCAACAGCTAAATCAGCTGTCAGAATTTAAGACACAAGTGGAGACCTATCTCTTCTGGCAGGCCTAACCAGACAGTTTTAATGGCGAATTTTAAACTTCCACTTTATGTCTAATTTTTTTGTGTGTATTTTAATATGTATTTTGTGGAAATATGTTTTAATATGAATATGTGTATTCCATTGAGTATTTTTAAATGATTATGTATTTTAGCAATGTTGTAACCTGCCTCGAGCCATGAGAAGAGGCAGGGAAGAAATAAATTACTATTATACATGTTTTCTCCCTCTATTTTACACCAGTACAGTGTACATATTTTCAAATTAATTACCGAACAGTGTATGTCGGTTAACTATAGGCTATCGTTGTCTGTCTTAGACCATGAAAAAGCTCCTTCACTGAATCATAAGGCAAGTCTTCAAGATCTCCCATTTGTAACTTCAGTATGACCCCCTATGCATGTATTTGATATATCCGGTTACAATTATCCATGCTCCAAAAATATTCTGGAACTGTTTCTGGGGCTTTTTATGTCCTCCAGTTTGATTCTATGGTATGCTTTTGGCCCAAGTACACACAAAATATATGGTTTACTATCATCCACAGTTCAGGTATCCACAGGGGGTCTTGAAATTTATCTCCTCTGGATACAGGGTCATAATGTATTATATGGCAGAATCCTATTGTTTGCAAACTCTAACTAGTCCCATGGAGATGTTTTTGTCACTGCCAAAAGGCATGTGATACATCCATCCAATGCAGACAGTAATAAAATTAAGAAGTCTATGTTTTCTTTATATCTATGGCATTTCTGTGCAGCCTTTGGCTTATTCAACGGCCCAGAATAGCTCTTTCTATTGAAGTGTAACTTTTCCCCCTCACTTTAATCTTTACCTGCAGCGGTCTCCATAACCACAGTTTCCATTCTGGAAATACTTGCAGATCTGGGTCGTCTTCCTATCATGGGAGAATCGGCAATTCTGACCCCATCTGCAGGCACCACGGGCAAAATTTCTGAAATAAAAGTAAAAGATTATTTTTTAAACTACCAATTAAAATTCTGTCACATAAGTAGAAGATACCTGGAAGACAAAACACTAGATAAATCATACTGACAAATCTAGACATTTCTAACCTGGGCTGAGTTGAACATAAGGATTAAAGACTGGAGTGGAAGACAAAATACTAGAAAGTTAGTGAACAGTATACCCATATTTGAATTTGACTTTGCAGATTTGTTGATTTTCGTATGTTTTCTCTTTAGGTCCTGCAGTGCAAATCTATGGTCAATTAATGCTGGAAGTTAATAATACAGCCATGAAGGAGGTCCTCCAGTACAGCAGAGTCATGTTGGAGAACCTAGATCAGTGGTTCCCAACCTTTGGTATGTGGACCACCAGTGGTCCCCAAGAACTAAAATATGGTCCTCGACCTCACCATTACTACACTATTGCAACTAGAGTGACTGGTCTTGCGAAACCCTCTTATAATGCTGAGACAACAGGGATGGGGGGGGGATGGACTGAGTACCCACAAAAGGCGTGACAACAAGCCTCCTGGCTGCTCCTCCTCTTCCCTCCCCTTGAGCAGAGCCATTCCATGTGGTGCCTGGAAGAGTAGATGGCTTATTGCCTTCATTTTTAAGCCTGTTCCTGTGGTTATTTGGGGCACTAATTCAGAAATTTGCATTGGCTGCACCACATCAGCTCTAGATTATTAAATATGGTTTTCTGTGGGCAAGTAGATGGTGACTGCTGCATGGCATATGCTCTGTATCAGAAACTAGAGCTGACATGCAATTTTCTGATCATCACCCCAAATAGCCAAACTGAATCTACAGTTGACCAAAGACGGATTCGTAACCCTTTTGGTACTAATGTTGGAGAGTGGTCCCTGGTCAAAGTGGTCCCGGATTTTTAAAAAAGGTTGGGAACCACTGATCTAGATAGTCCTAGAAAAGTGTTCTCTTAGGTTTAAAAACAGCAATATTGTTATTTGTGGGGTGGGGGGTCCCACTTCTGCAGGGATCCTGTGCCCCTGATCCAGCAAATGCAGAAGGCTGGCTGTAATGTCAAAACAAGAACAGGTAAAAATACCAGCTAGCTGAAGATATATGGAGCATCTGTGGAAGTCAAGAAAGAGAAATAGGAAGTATATCCCACTTTTGGACCATGTGCTTCTTCCAACTGAAATGATCCCTGGCAATTGTGTCTCATCCGCATGTAGTAAACAAGGCTTTGCTCTTGTGAGAATAAGAATGCCAGAAAGGTATGAATTAAAAAGGAGACTGCTATGTCAAGCCTGCCAAGACCGAGAAGTGGTTCTTTGTGCATCTGGAAATGTCTGAAAGTTCAGAGTTCAGTCTGCTTTGGAGAAAATTGGCTAAAGATGTTGGTATTTAAAAGCAAAACACAGGTTTATGTGATAATTGATCACCAGCACTATGAGAGGTGTGTCCTGTGCTATACAGTCAGCCCTTCACATTTAAAGGTTCGACTTATGTGGATTTGTTTAAACTATTTTCTCCAGGTTTTCCAGTTCAACTCTATGATCAACTGCCACTAGAAGCTGATCAAAGAGTCACTCTGGAGAATCTAGAGCAGAACTTTCCAAACTGCATGTTACAACATGTTAGTGTGTTGAGGCTTTTGACCTCAAGTAGGGTGCAATGGGCCTATATGACTTGACACTCTGGCACTTTAATTTATGAATTGCTGGCAGCTAGTTTTATCTACAAGTGTTCTGCGTTTTAAAATTGAGCAATTTTATTTAATGTTATATGTGTTAGTAGTGGTTGTTGTTATAATTGTATGTGTTATTGTTTTATACTTATTTTATGTTATACGCTGCACCTTGGAGTGTCTTTGTAAGCCACCCCGAGTCCCTTTGTGGAGATGGTAGCGGATACAAATAAAGTTTATTATTTATTATTATTATTATTTAAGATATGTTGTATCCCCTTACATGTTAATATTACACTTTATGTATCTGTCAATATCTCTTATGAGGGGTTGGTTTTACCTCCAGTTTGCTAGTAAAACTCGAGTCGCCTTCAGGCTGAGAGAGGCGATATATAAGTATGATAAATAAATAAATTCCTGTGTTGTGGTATGATGCATGTCCCAAAAGTGTGTCACCAATATGGTATATTTGGATATGTCAGATCTAGAGATTTCTAGAAAGGTGTTCTCTCATGTTTAAAAAAAGCCATTTTTATTTGTGGGTTTTTATTTATTTATTTATTTATTTATTTATTGCATTTGTTGACTGCCGTTCTCAGCCCCTTCAGGCGACTCACGGCGGTGTACAACATATAAAAACAGATTACAAAACCCTCATACAACACAGTATACATGTAGCATTAATAATACAACAATAATTACTCTAAATCATCCGCGTCGTCTCGTCATAGAATCGCAAAGCCAATCTCGTATTCCATAATTCCGTTCCATTCATCATCGTCAGTTATTATTACAGCACTTGGTTGAACGCCTGCTCGAATAGCCATGTCTTTAAACTCTTGCGAAAGGACATAAGGGAGGGCGCCTGTCTGAAGTCCACAGGGAGGGTGCTCCACAGCCGGGGCGCCACCACCGAGAAGGCCCTATCTCTCGTCCCCGCCAAGCGTGCCTGTGAGGCAGGTGGGATCGAGAGAAGGGCCTCCCCAGATGATCTCAAGGCCCTCGTGGGCTCATAGGCCGAGATGCGGTCAGAAAGGTATTTTGGGCCGGAACCGTTTAGGGCTTTGTAGGCCAGCACCAGCACCTTAAATTGGGCCCGGTAGCAAATCGGCAGCCAGTGGAGCTGGAACAACAAGGGCGTTGTATGCTCCCTGCGTCCCGCTCCTGTTAGTAACATGGCTGCCGCGCGCTGGACTAGCTGGAGCTTCCGGGCCGTCTTCAAGGGCAGCCCCACGTAGAGAGCGTTGCAGTAGTCAAGGCGGGATGTGACCAGAGCGTGTACTACCGTGGCCAAGTCAGACTTCCCGAGGTACGGGCGCAGCTGGCGCACGAGCCTAAGCTGTGCAAATGCTCCCCTGGTCACCGCTGAAACCTGGGGATCCAGGCTCAATGATGAATCCAGGATCACACCCAAGCTGCGAACCTGCGCCTTCAAGGGGAGTGCGACCCCATCCAGCACAGGCTGTAACCCTATGCCCTGTTCGGCCTTGCGACTGACCAGGAGTACCTCTGTCTTGTCTGGATTCAATTTCAATTTGTTCGCCCTCATCCAGACCGTTACAGCGGCCAGGCACCGGTTCAGGACCTCGACAGCCTCCTTAGTAGCAGGTGGGAAGGAGTGACAGAGCTGGACATCATCTGCGTACAGATGACACCGCACCCCGAAACTCCGGATGATCTCACCCAGCGGCTTCATGTAGATGTTAAACAGCATGGGGGACAGTATAGAGCCCTGAGGAACCCCACAGGTCAAAGGCTGTGGTGTTGAACAGGTGTCCCCCAATAACACCTTCTGGGTACGGCCCTCCAGAAATGACCGGAGCCACTGTAGAACAGTGCCCCCGAGCCCCATTTCCGCAAGGCGCCCCAGAAGGATACCGTGGTCGACGGTATCGAAGGCCGCTGAGAGGTCCAGGAGCACCAACAGGGACACACTCCCCCTGTCTAGCTCCCGGCGCAGATCATCCACTAAGGCGACCAAGACCGTCTCAGTTCCATGTCCCGGTCTGAAACCAGATGGTGCCGAATCCAAATAATCCGTGTCTCTCAAGAATACCTGGAGTTGTGAGGCCACCACGCTTTCCATGACTTTGCCCAAAAAGGGGAGATTGGAAACAGGCCGAAAGTTGTCAAATTTAGTGGGGTCCAATGATGGTTTCTTCAACAGCGGTTTTATAATAGCTTGTTTTAAGCTCGCTGGAATCATGCCTTCCCGAAGGGAGGCATTAACCACCACCGTTACCCACTCAGCCAATCCCCCTCTGGCCTCCTTCAGAAGCCAGGATGGGCAGGGGTCTAGGATGGACGTGGTGGGCCTCATTCCTCCAAGTATCTTGTCCACATCCTCGGGTTTCACAAACTGAAAAGAATCCATCAAAATAGGACAAGCAGGTGCTCGTGTCACATCCACAGAGACTGCATTTAACATGGTGTCCAGCTCAGAACGGATCAAAGCGACTTTGTCTGCAAAGAACCGAGCAAATGCTTCACAGCGCGTGGCCGAATTGTCAGGGCTCCCGCCTGAGGTGGCGGGAGTTAACAGACCTCTGACAACCCGGAACAACTCCGCCGGACGGTTCCTTGCAGACGCAATAGTGGCCGCAAAGAAAGTTTTCTTTGCGGCTTTTATTGCCGCGGCATATGCCCTTAAGAAGGACACAAACCGTGTTCGGTTTGACTCGCTCGGCTCCGAACGCCACACGCTCTCTAGTTCCCTCTTCCTTCGCTTCATCACTGCCAGCTCCTCAGTGAACCAAGGAGCTGGTTTAGCTCGGCTACTTGAGAGGGGACGTTCCGGAGCGATCATGTCAATTGCCCTGGCCATCTCCCCATTCCAGAGAGCGACCAAGGCCTCGACATGGTCACCTACCGAGGTGGCGGGAAAATCCCCAAGAGCCGTCAGGAATCCATTCGGATCCATAAGCCTCCTGGGGCGGACCATCTTAATGGGTCCTCCACCTTTGCAGAGGTTAGGGGGCGCAGTGAGCCTAAATCTGATCAGGAAGTGGTCGGTCCATGGCAACGGAGAGATGGATAACTCCTCCACACCGCCACCTTGCTCCCATCCCTGACAGAAAACCCTGTGCCCCTAACCCAGCAAATGTGGGGAGCTGACTGTATTTTTATTTACAATTATTGTGGGTTGCATTTAAAAAATCAGAAAAGCACCAAAGAAAGGATATGACCAGAGTTCAGCAAATTTACTTACAGCTATTCAGAAAAGCCAATGCAATGTTTTAAGTTGATAAGAGGAAGAACAATTTAATAAGCTGAAGTTACAAGCTGCACCTACTCTATGACAAGGGAACAGAGGAAGGGAGGCATAAGTAGTAC